CTAATATCAGACAAAACAGACTTTAACATAAAAACTATTAAAAGATACAAAGAAGGACACTATATAATGATTAAAGGATCAATTCAACAGGAAGATGTGACTATTATAAATGTATATGCACCTAATTACAGGGTACCTGGCTATTTAAAAGATATGTTAAGGGATTCAAAGGGAGATATAGACTCTAATACAATAGTAATGGGGGACTTCAATACCTCCCTTTCAGCAATGGACAGATCAAACAGAAAATCAACAAGGAAACAACAGAGCTCATCGATACCATAGACCAAACAGACCTAGCAGATATCTACAGGGCCTTCCACCACACAACCACAGAGTACACATTTTTTTCTCCAGTGCATGGATCTTTCTCTAGGATTGACAATATGCTAGGCAATAAAGTGAGTCTCAGCAAATTCAAAAAATCAAAATCATACCATGCGTCTTCTCAGACCAATGCAATGAAGCTGGAAATTAACAACTCAAGAATCTCTACATAATATGCAAATACATTAAGAATGAACAACATGGTTCTGAAAGAACAACGGGTCATAGAAGAAATCAAGAGAGAAATCAAAAAATTTCTGTAAACAAATTAAGATGCCAATACAACATACCAAAATTTGTGGGATACAGCAAAGGCAGTATTAAGAGGAAAGTTTATAGCAAATGGTGCCTACATCAAGAATGGAAATGCAGGGCCGGCACCATGGCTCACTTGGTTAATCCTCTGCCTGCGGCACTGGCATCCCATATGGGCGCTGGGTTCTAGTCCCAGTTGCTCCTCTTCCAGTCCAGCTCTCTGCTGTGGCCCAGGAGGGCAGTGGAGGATGGCCCAAGTGCTTGGGCCCCTGCACCTGCTTGAGAGACCAGGAGGAAGCACCTGGCTCCTGGCTTCGGATCGGCGTAGTGCCAGCCGTAGCAGCCACTTGGGGGGTGAACCAATGGAAGGAAGACCTTTCTCTCTCTCTCTAACTCTGTTAAAAAAAAAGAAAGAAAGAAAAGAAAATGCACCAAATACATAGTCAATTGAAAGTAGATCTCAGTAAAAAGGAATAAGAGAGGGAGAAGGAAGTTTCTAACTGTAAAGCTGCAAAATGCCATCTTAATTGTTAAAGTGATCATTTTAAGTGTTAAAGTGAACATACAGACAGGATTAAGTGTTAAAGAGACCATATAAATAGTATCAAGTGCCTGGTACTAACAACAGACAGAATTAAAAAGGAGAGAATGTCCAACATGGGAAGCAGTCCACACAGCAGACTCCTAAGAAAGACAATCACTTTAAGTAACACTCTGACCTCAGAATCAGAGGCAATTGGATGTGGCTGAAAAGCCCACAAGAGCAATGCAGGCATGGAAAGCCAAGACTCTGTGGCAAAAATATCCTACATGAAGGATCTCTGTGAATGAGAACCCAGTAGAAAGAAGGGGCCATCAAAGAAGAATGTACTTTTCTCTGAAGGGAGGAGAGAACTTCCACTTTGCTTATGGCCTTGTCTAAATACTGAAAGAGTTTGTGGTCATAAAAGGCTTCCATAACCTTGGCAGCTGATAGCAAGAGCCTCGTGTGATCACTGTCATAATAAATAAGAGTGTCTATTGTTAAATTAACAAAAGAAATCACTGTACACTAACTTCCCATGTAGGACCTCTGTCCTATGAGAATTAACTGCAAAATTTGTTCTCAAACAGTACCTTTTACATTGTGTGTATGTGTGTAAACTGTTGAAGTATTTACTTAGTATAGAATTGGTCTCCTGTATATAAAAATAATTAAAAATGAATACTAAAGAAGAATGGGATGGGAGAGGGAGTAGGGAATGGGATGAGAGTGGGTATTGGGGGGGGGGGGAATCACTATATTCCTAAAGTTGTACCTATGAAAATTGTATTCATTAAACAAAAGATCTTTAAAAAAAAAAGATTCAGTCAGTATTTACTTTTGGAAAAATAACAATGTATGTTTACAGAACCCGCACACAAATGGTTAAACAGCACATTAAATATTGCCAAAAAGTGAAGTATCCTTCAACCAGCAGCCATTTATAGAATGAGCTACTATTTACAAATACAAGAATGAAATATTAATGATGAAACACATGGATGACTGTGAAAAACACATTTTTTAAAATTTATTATTAGAGAGATAGATAGATAGAGTCTTCCATCCACTGGTTACCCCCCTCTCCCCCGCAAATGGCTGCAATGGCCAGAACTGAGCTGATCTGAATCCAGGAACCAGGAGCTTCTTCTGGGTCTCCCATGCAGGTGCAAAGGCCCAAGTACTTGAAGCCACCCTCTACTGCTTTCCCAGGGCATAGCAGAGAGCTGGATCAGAAGTAGAGCAGCTGGGACCCAAACCGGTGCCCATTTTGGATGCCAGTACTGCCTGCCAGGGCTTTAACCCGCTGTGCCACAGTGCTGGCCCCAAAACACATTTTTGTAAGAAACGAAATTATGGAGTCAGAGCTGTGGCGTAGTGGGTGAAGTCTCTGCCTGCAGTGCCAGCATTCCACATGGGTGCTGGTTCATGTCCCGGCAGCTCCTCTTCCAATCCAACTCTCTGATTAGGGCCTGGGAAAACAGTGGAAGATGGTCAAGTGCTTGGACCACTGCCCCTGATCCTGCATGGGTTATTTGGAAGAATCTCCTGGCTTTCAAGGAGTGAATCAGCCAATGAAAGACCCTTCTGTCTCTCCCTCTGTCTCTAACTCTGCCTCTCAAATAAATAAAAAGAAATGAAATTAAGCAGAAGACCCAAAATATTACACAAAATATAGTTTCACTTATATGACACTCTAGGGAAGATAAAATTATAAGGATAGAAACAGATCAGGGATTGCCAGGGTAAGGCGTGTGGTAGGGTGAACTACAAATGCACGGCTGAGGGAGTCTGAGGGCTTGATGGAACTTTTGGGTATCACTATGATGGCAGACCACATGCCTTTTAGCATTTGTCAGGGCAGACAGAATCATGCACCACAAAAGTGAACTTTTAAAAAAATATTTATTTACTTATTTAAAATGCATAGTGACAGAGAGAGGGAGACATAGAGAGAGATCTTTCATCCACTGATTCACTTCCCAAATGGCCACACCAGCCACGGCTGGACCAGACAGAAGCCAGGAACTCCACTGGGGTCTCCTACCTGGGTGGTAGGAGCCCAAGCAGTTGGGCCACTTAACACTGCTTTCCCATTAGCAGGAAGAGGCACTAGAAGCAGAGTAGTCAGGGCTTGAACAAGCACTCCAATACAGGATGCTGGCATTGCAAGTAGTAACTCAACCCACTGCATAAAAGCACGGGTTTCCACAACAATGAATTTAACTGTCTGTAAATTAAAAAAAAATAAATAAATCCATTGATAAACCACACAGTACACAAACTACACACTACACAAACCTCTACCTTATAGGTTGAAGCAATGTATACTAGAAAACAAAGCACACCAGATGTTTTTAGGCCTCCTCGAGATAACTGGAGATGCTTTTCACTTTGCAGCTGAGAAGGTGCCTAAACAATCTACAAGTTTCTGATACTATTCAGAGGGTAGTACTTATATCCAGTTTTTGTAGTTCCATAGTTTTTTAATGCCTAGTATTTTCTAGTATTTACATCCAGTTTTTTTTAGTCCAGTTTTTATAGTTACTCTAATAGTAACAAGGTGGGATTTTTGTATCCAACGAAATTATCTGTTTACATTATTTCATAATAGGATGGAAGTCTGTGCAGGTCCAAGAATAAATTATCTTTAGTATATGTACTTGGGCTTGCATCTGTTCAACAGTTAAGATGCCACTTATGCTGTGCCCACATCCTACACAGTGGAATGCCTGATTTGAGTCCCAGCTACTCAGCTTCCTACGATCCAGCTTCCCGCTAATGGGCACCCTGGGAAGCAGCAGGTGATGGCTGAAGTACTTGGGGTCCTGTCACCCACATGGGAGACCCCGACTGCGCTCCAAGCTCCTGGCTTCCACCTGGCCCAGCAGTTGCGGGTATTCAGACAGTGAACCAGTGAGTGGGAGAGAGGTCTCTCTTCTCCTTCTCTTCTTTCAAATAAAATTAAAAGAAACAGTTTTACTACATACATTAATTCGTGTCACAAAGGAGTCTAATTTCTACTGGCTGCCTAAAATAAATAAGGGTATAACATAATAACAGACGGGAGAACTAAAATGAGGCTGTAAGTAAGTTAGAGTACAATAGTCATCAGGTATAAAGCAAAGCTCCAGTCCTTCGGCATCTAAACAGCGTCAGGTGCATGGCCACTGGTCTTTATAGGTCTGGGCTGCTATCCAGTGCACCTAGTTTTTCTGTTTTTTAGTTCAGTAATTCACTCTGACCCACAAAACTCCAAAATCCTTGCCAACATGACACATTCCTGATTCAACTCGCGAGCTGCAAACGAGTTAATGCTGCACAGGAGTTTCGTTTTTGTTATCAGTCAAACCGCAGAAGAGCAACCCGGAGCCCAGATCCAGGTCCCGCGGCCGGAAGCCGGAGCAGAGCACGCTCCGGTGTAGCCGTAAACTGAGGCTGGGAAGGAAGTTAAAGAGGGCGTCTGCGGGCGCCGCGCCTTCACGTGCGAGGCAGCGTGCCACCCTCCGTGGGCTCTCCGGGGCCTTCGTCACAACCCAAGCGGGGAACTGACGGGGACGGGACCCAACCCGGGTGCGAGTCGTCGCCTCCCCCGGCCCAGCACAGCTGAAGCCCGACGGCGCGCAGCGAGGGGCTCGCACCCGAACTCCAGACGCACGGGGTCCACTGCGGGTCCCCTGGAGAAGGCAGACCTTTGCATCCCGACCCCTCCAAGACCCTCGCCGTCTCCCGGACTCCAAAACCAGCGACTCGTGGCGGGGGCCCCGGAAAGCCGGTCGGCTTTATGTAACTTGAAAGGCGGTGGGTGGTAGCGCCGGGCTTGCCAGGAACCCGCAGCCCCAGAGATGGGGCCCGGCTCAGGTAGCCCGGGTCCGGTGGCAGGCGAGACTAAGGGGCGGTGGAGGTCTCGTTACCTTTCCAGATGCCCAGAGAGAGCTGGGACGAGTCCAAGTTCCCCACATAGTCCCCCAAGATCCGGTTCAACACGTCCACGACCACCGACTCGAACACCATTTTCTTCAGCCACGAAGGGTACGGTGGCCGCGTCCCCACCCCGCCCCCGCTCTCCCTGCGCCTTTCCTCGAGATCGCTCGGTTCACCGGCTCCCGGACGGCCCCGGCTGTCGCACCACCGCCGGCCGGACCGGCAGCCAGAGCGCGAGCCCAGCGAGGGGCGGAGGCGGCCCCTCGCACCACGCGTGCGCACCTCGGGCTCGCGGGTGGGGGCGGAGCGCGGCGCCACAGCCCAGAGGGCGTGAGCTCCAGAGAGGGACAGGGCGGCTGCGCAGCCGCCGGTGTGGCGCGTGCCCCCTGCGGGCTGGGCCCTACTCCTCTTTCCCGTCGGCCCCGCCCTCCCCCCACCCCCATCGCCTGGCAACGCACGCGTGTTCGGAGCTGCAGGATTTTTTGGACCCCCACCCCCACCCGCGCGGGCCGGAGACCCTACCGGCCGCCGAGGGTCGAACGCGGCGGTTACAGCCGAGGGGAACGCCCTTCCCTTCTCCTGCTGGGGGCTGCTCAGGTGTGGGCCGATTTTACTGCTAGGCCAGAGGCTTCAGGAGCGGGAATCCCAGCCATTACTACTGGACTGGAGGGTCCGGCCAGCCTGAGGGGGGCTGGACGCTACTAATGCCCCGCCTGATCCTGGCCACCTGCCCCGACTTCTCGCCCGCAGATGTGGGGAGGGGGTGTGCGGCGTTCCACGCCCTGCCCTGCGTCCGTGTTTTTGGTCAAGTCATCCACCCGCAGCTGCCCTTCGGTCCAGTTTGGCACAGTTCCCGTCAGCCTCTTGTACCCACAGGAATACTGCGCTCACTCCTGGGCCTTCACGCTGACTGACTGACCTTAAGTAAATACAAATTAAAGTTAAAGCTCTTTCTGCCCCACCCGTTAGTCCTAAAGGCCTGAAGTCACTGCGACTTGAAGATGTGAAATTTAGAGACTTATTGTTAATCTTCCTTTCAAAGACTTAAGATAAAAGGCGTGTATTTGGAACTTTTTTTTTTTTTTGGCGTGGCAAAGGAGTAATGATTTTTCTGTTACATTTATTTATTTATTTTCATTTGAGAGACAGATAGGTTGCCTGTGCACTTCCCCTATCTGCTAGTTGACTCCCTCCGCATACCTGAAACACCCAGGGCTGGCCCGGCAGAGGGTGGACCTCAATGTGTCCCACCTGAGTGGCAGGGCCCAAGTACTTGAACCATCATTGCTGCCTCCCAGACAAAGTCACTGTTAGGAAGCTAGAATCAGGAAATAAAGCAAGTAATAAAACTCAGGCAGGGATCTTAACCTCTAGGCTAGTGCCCAACCTATAAAACATCCTTGAAATAACAAAATTAAAGCAGTGGAGAACAAATCAGTCATTACCAGAGGATAGGTATGGGCAGGAGAGTTAGTGTGGCATCTTGTGTTTATGGGTACACTGCTGTGTCTTGAATATGGTCATGTTTCTATAAAATTCCACAAAACCACACACACATATAAGTGCATGTAAGACTGGGAAAATCTGAGTTAACTCTATGGGTGGTACTGGTGTCTTTATTTTGTGGTTTTGATATTGCATTATAGTTATGAGATTAGGTATCATTGGGGAAAACTGGATGATGGGTACAATGGGATCCCCTTGGGAATTTTTTTCTCACAACTTACTAGGAATTTCTAAGTATCTATAAATAACTTTTTTAAAAAGTGCCTGCTAATTTGCAGTCGACTAAAAGATGCCCCAGAGGATGAGACGATCCTGCATGATGCTTTCATATCCCTGCACAAGGTGCTTGATAAAATATTCAAGAGGGGAATGCATCTGAATGTAATAACATATCAGAATGTATTAAAACGTTGATTACTCTGTGGTCCCAGTAAAATATTAGAGAGATGTGCTGTAAGGCATTTTCAAATAGCTTGCTCTGGCTAAGTAAAATGACCAACCTCTTTGCAAATAGAGATGGTTGGTTCCAAATGCTAATGTCCATCAGTGTTTACTGCTCTCAGATTTTTACACGGCTGATTTCACATGACTGATACATCTTGCCATTAAGGTTTGTGCTCAAATAGCACCTAATCAGAGATGTTTTCTCTGACTGCTCAGTCTCAAGGAACTAGCAGACACTGTAGCAGCACCTGAGTCTAACTTACTTTTTACTCTGACACTTGCAGGATCAGCATCTTGCAGACATCAGAACCACTCTCATGGTCCTCTGTCCTCAGAAGTTTGCTTCTCAGAACTGAGACACAGGGACCAAATAGTTCCCTCCATGGAAGTCTGTGTTGCAGTTCAAGGGCTCCTTGTGTATTTCCAGGTCTCTCCCTTGGCCCACTTAACCCTTGAGTTTGCACTGCTTCCTGCAGTAACTGCTTCCTCAATAGTTTAGAGTGCTCATTTTACTCTTTCACTATTTAATTTTATATCTACTTAATTATAATCAGTTATAATTTTGTATAGCCCTACTTCCTTGGGGAAGCAAGTCTGTGCCAAAGGAGATGTTTTGCTGAGGAAGGAAAGCAGTATCATCTAAGGGAGTAATGAAAATTATAGGTGAGGAGGGAAGCCAGGCTCAGGGCTAGAGAGGATTAAGTGTCAGGACAAGGAACGACTGCCAATCTATAAATAAATGGGTAATGAGTCCCGAGAGCAAGGGCACAGATAATCAAGAGCAGGTCAGGCAGTAAAGTGTGAGGCGGGTCAAGTGAAGGAAGCAGAAGATGGACTGCGGGTATGGAGTGCTGAGATTCTGCTCTTGGTGGACCTGTGGCTCAGAGCCGCGGAGTTAGGTTGCTCACTGTGAACTGAGTCACTGATAACAATGCCTTTGCTTGCTTGTTCACTCCAGCTTCCCCACGCCTGAGCCAATCTTGATTTAGAAAAGTTGTAGGCCGGCGCCGCGGCTCACTAGGCTAATCCTCCGCCTAGCGGCGCCGGCACACCGGGTTCTAGTCCCGGTTGGGGCGCCGGATTCTGTCCCGGTTGCCCCTCTTCCGGGCCAGCCCTCTGCTGTGGCCAGGGAGTGCAGTGGAGGATGGCCCAGGTGCTTGGGCCCTGCACCCCATGGGAGACCAGGAAAAGCACCTGGCTCCTGGCTCCTGCCATCGGATCAGCGCGGTGCGCCGGCCGCAGCGCGCCGGCCGCGGCGGCCATTGGAGGGTGAACCAACGGCAAAGGAAGACCTTTCTCTCTGTCTCTCTCTCTCACTGTCCACTCTGCCTGTCAAAAAAAAAAAAAAAAAAAAGTTGTAAAAGATATCCCAGAAATGAACTCTCTACATATCTGGACTTTCGAATATTGACCACAATCTCTATTTCCTGCCTGTGTACTCTTTCCCTCCTTTGCAATTCATTGACAGAAATGGAGGTTGAGTGATGTGAAACCAGGAGCCAGGAGCTTCTTCCAGCTCTCTGACATGGGTGCAGGAGCCCAGGAACTTGGGCCAACCTCCACTGCTTTCCCAGGCAGGAGGCTGGATTAGAAGTAGAGCAGCCAGGAATTGAACCAGTGCCCATATGTGATGCCAGAGTCTCAGGCAATGACTTTACCCACTAGGCCTCAGCACCAGTCCCAAGGATAATCATTTTGATGTGCAATTCTAAGGTTACCTTACCTTGCCTACCCTCCTCAACCTTTCTGTTAATGAAAGTAAACTGAAACAGAGAAATGGGAAGCACTGAACAGGATGGAGTGAGGTAGGAAAGTCCCAGAATTAAAGAGCAGCCAGGAGGTCATGTTCAAGATGTAGGCAGGAGGTAATTATGGGCATCAAGTAGGCCACAGCAATCTGAATGGATTAAAGGTATTGCTGTAATGGAGGCCATAAAGGTGGAAGTTACCAACCTTGGAGAATGATTAAGTATGGTAGATGAGGTAAATAAAATAATTCCAAGATTGTGTCATCCACAGAAACTAAATGTGAAAACAAGGCACCATGGTTCTTTTGTAGAGGATGAGGATTTTAGCTGTTGGTAGTCTCCGTGAGGTCTGAACTCTAGAGGAAGACACCAGGACAGAGAATAAGTAGAAATTCAGGAGGAAATGTCTAATGATAGAAACAAAGGAGTGAGGTCCCACTGAGAGTCCAGGGCAAGAGATGTATACTTGAGAGAGCTCCATACACAGAAGTAATCATTAATATCCAATGTGTGCATGACACTAGGAATAAAGAATTATAGACAAAGAAAACCAGAAAAATTGGGACTGACAGTGGGAACATGCTGCCGTTTAGGGAGGAGTCAAATGAACATGAGATTACACTGGGAACCAATGTATTTGGAGTAACCCAGAAATCCAAGAATGGTCTACAGGAGAAAGATAAGGTCAGAAATATCAAAATTTTGGATATACCAAGAAGGAGAATTTAGAATACTAAAGTGAATTCAGCTGTTAGTGCAAACAGGGTCTTAGAGATGTCTAGTCAGAGTCACCAAGAGAGTAGATATTAATAATAAAGGGTTACTCATAAGTTTGAATGTCATGTTTACCAGTAGTATGCTTATGTTTAGAAAATTAAGGTCACTCCAATACTTACAAGTACATAAGTGCACATAACTCCTTCAATAGTAAAATAGAGATTCCGAGATGGGTGTTTGGCTTAGTGGTTAAGACACCACTTGGAACGCCCATATCCCATATCAAAGGGCCTCTGTTCAAGTCCAGGCTCAGGTATTGATTCTAGCTTCCTGCTAATTCATTCCATGGGAGGCAGCAGGTGATAAAGTACTTGAGTCTCTGCTATCCATGTGGGACACCTGGATTGAGTTCTTGGCTCCCAGCTTCAGATCCTGCCCAGCCCTATCTATGCAGGCACTTGGGGAGTGAATCAGCAGATGGAAGCACTCTCTTTCTCTCTCCTTTTTTCTATCAAAAAAACAAAACAAAACAAAAACAAAACAAAACAAAACAAAATAAATTTAAAACAGATTCATTGTCAGTGAAGATTTATTAGCTCAATAAATGTACATAGTAATGCTTGCATTTTTGCAGTATGTAAATTAGTTTTATTCTTGCATATACTTTTATCATCACAGTATCATTTCTGGTAAGAATTTTAACTGACTCATAAATAAACCAAGCACTCACTTCCAAATATCCTATTTTCTTACTGCTTTAATCACAGTTTATGTCTTGACATTTTTACTTAACAACTGCTTGCCTGGAAACTTGCTAGTCTATAATAGATTTTTAACAAAATAGATGAAAAACTGTTTTCTTTTTCTTGTTTTTTTTTTTTTAAGATTTATTTATTGTGGGGAGCAACTCGGACTAGACTAAGTTACTGGAATTAAGACTTATTCTATGCATCTGCTCTCCCACAATATGGCGCTGAGAAGGGAGAAACAGCTTCTACACAGCTGCCTCCAGTTCAACCAATAAACTGTAGGACCTGCTCCTGATTGGAGGAGAGCAGCGTACTCGGCGTGTGGGTAGCAGAGTTGGGATTGGTGGAAGAGGACTATAAAGGAGAGAGACAACATGCACCAGGAACATCTAAGGGGAACATCTATCTGAAGGAACACCTGTGCAGCCCCCGAGAGAGCCGGCCAGCGGTGTGCCGCTCCCCCGCGGAAGTGGGGAATGTGGCAGGGGGAACCGCCCTTCCACGGAGGTGGAAGGGATGGTAGCCAACCCGGGAAGAACCAGCAGCAAACCCGGGGAGGGCCGAGCAGACAAAAGAACAGCGCAGGGTCCTGTGTCGTTCCTCCACGAAGACGGGGAGTGACATTTATTTATTTGAAAATCAGAGTTATACAGAGAGAGGAGAGGCAGAGAGAGAGAGAGAGAGAGAGAGAGAGAGAGAGAGGTCTTCCATCCGATGGTTCACTCCCCAATTGGCCACAACAGCCGGAACTGTGCTGATCCGAAACCAGGAGCCAGGAGCTTCTTCCAGGTTCCCCACCCAAGGACTTGGGCCATCCTCTGCTGCTCTCTCAGGCCATAGCAGAGAGCTGGATCAGAAATGGAACAGCCAGGTCTCGAACCAGCACCCATATGGAATGCCGGTGCT